AAAAAAAAAATGACAAATCACTTGGCTACCTAAAGTTCAACATCATTTCTAGAAGACACCAAAGCAATCTGGCTATGTTTATTTGGCTGGACTCAAACTTTAGGCTCAAGTGATTCTCCCACTCTTGCTCTTCTTCTTATTTCTTCTTCTTTCCTCCTCCTGCTCCTTCTTCTTCTTTTTCCTCCCTCCCTCCCTCCCTTTCTCCCTCCATTTCTTCCTTCTTTCCTTCCTTCCTTCTTTCCTTTCATCCTTCCTTCTGTCCTTTCTTCCTTCCTTTCTTCTTTTTAGAAATGTAGTCTTGCTATGTTGCCTTGGCTGGACTCAAACTTTAGGCTCAAGTGATTCTCCCACTCCAGCCTGCCAAGGCTGTACTCCAACAGTAGCTTTTTGTTTGTTCCTAGTGGACCATCATGTACAGCTACTTTTACTTAAGGCCTATGATGAAAACTCAAAAAATATAATGGTTCATGTTTATAAACGTTTTTGTGTATTCAGTCCCGGCTGGGCCAAATAATCAGAACTCTGATTATTTGGCCCAGCCGGGACTGAATACACAAAAACATTTATATGCTGAGGGAGGGACTGAATATGCTCAGTGCCTCTTAGTTAATGTGAATTTCCCTAGAGCACATTCAGGCAATGCTTATTTTCTCATAATACTACCCCCATCTTACCCCTTTTTTTCATTTTATATATTGTTTTGAATTAGATTTCATAGAACATAGGATTTTTTTCTTCTTTTCAAACTGTTCTATTAATTTTCTCTTTTCTCATTCCTAGCCAAGAGCCCTGACCCAGGTGAAGCGTGTAAACCTTCCACATGGAATTCCTAGCAAAGAGGCTGGGGGTATTGGGGCAGGGCCTGGGAAGTGACTGACTTACACAAACCTACCGTGTCTTGTTCTCTGCTGGATACCCTTACTTCTCCATCTTGTGAATATCCACAGGTCCCCACACACCCTAATCTTGTCCTCTTACTGTTGGCTCCATCCTCATGGAAGTGTAGGTGCCCTTCCTCTGCTCATGATGTTCCAAGGAAGGAGACTAGGGGGCTGAGTAGGGAAGAAGAGAATGCCCAGCTCCTGTCTGCTCAGACCCAGGCTGACCTCTGCTCTGAGACTCAGGCTGGGACTTGTATTTTACCATAAAGGCCCTGTGACAGGTGGTGGTTGGATTTTGGTGTTAAATCAGCTGTGTTGTGGACTGACTGGGATTTTCTGCACTAGCTTTTAATCTAATTATCACTTGGTTACATTGATTGTTTCAGCTCTTTCATAAACAGCTTGAGGAACCACTTCTCCAACTAAATCTTGGGTCTAAGTATGAAACAGATGAAAGTGAAATTGCTCTGCCCACTGCTGCACGTCCACTCACTTCTATCTCTGCTCTCAGAAGCAACATAGGGTGGGATTCCTAGGAGCTCACTTTGAAAACTGCTCATTAAGAGAACTGTTTACTTTCAGAGGACATCCTAGTCTTAAAATTCAGTTTGCCTATATATAATAAATTATTTAAAGTTTGCTGGGATTGGTGTGTGTATATGAGCCATATATGAAGCCAGCTGTAAGAGAAAGCAGAATGCACAGATGTTTACCTGATGTGATTTGATGGGGTGTTGAGAGATTCCATGATGACAATCCATACTCCCATTCATTCCTGAAATTCCATAGTCAGTAATGCATTTTATTTCACTGTTAAGCACCTGCCTTTTCTGAAGCTCTTTTTTAAAAATAAAAATGTCCTCATGAAGGATATTCACTAAGTTGTTGTAACCTTGGAGCAGATCCTTTTGCTTCTCTACTTGATTAATCATTTGATTAATCATACAGGGTTTCTGAATCCTCAAAAGGACAGATAGAAGGAAAGAAACAGCCACATCCATATATCATAATTTTGTGTAGGACTGGCCCTGACTATGTATGCATTTGTAAAACATGTGTGGGCAAGAGATATAAAAAATATCTCTTGTATTTAACTTGGAGACACCTTAGTTTCTCCTTTGGATGCAGGTAGTTCTGAGGTATATGAAGAGAGAGCATCTCAAAAGGAATTTTACTGTTCTTATATATTATTTTAGTACCAAAATATATTTTATTACCATATCATGGTAAAGATATATGTGCCCACATATACTAATAGGTATTTTCTCCTAAGTATGAGTTATTTAAAAGAGATAAGAGAATCAGAAATGCAAGTCAGAAATGGTGTATGTGTTTCTAAATATTGTCTATAACTTGTTACTGTTGGACAACAAAATAATAAATTGTGGGCATTTCTTATTTTTTTATCTTAACAAAATATTGCAAAACCATGGTTCATTCATTTACTCAACAAACATTCATAGCACCTACCATATGCTACTACTACTTTGTGCTATAAAAATTAATGAAGGTAGTTTCAGCATAAAAATCAGTCATCAGGGAGTATTTGAGGTTGTCCAATTAGAACTGAGGAAGGAAGGGAGAGAAGGGTGGAGTGCTGGATGGGGAAGAAGGAAGAAGGAGGATAGGTAAGAAAGGATGGATGGAAGGAAGTCCTTAACATAAGTTTTGTTGTTTTTAATTACACTCGTTATCTAGTTTGATGTTCTTTGTTTACATAATAATTAGCCATTTGCCACTTTTATTTTTTCTGGTGTGCTATAATTTGAAATCAGTTTTAACTTGTTGTTTTTGTATTTGTTCCTTTTCAGTATCAAAGAGCTTGTGTGGATTAGTTGCTAAGTACATACAAGATTTGAAGACCTGAAAACAAATAAATCAGCTTTTAAAAATGTAAGTGAACTCACTTCTGGCCATGGTTCATTTCAGTCCTCTCTAAAGTCTGCAGTTACCTCTCAGTGTGTGTGAATTTTTTTCCAGCAGTAAAGTTACTTGACTCTAGTGAGTCTACTTATTAAGTTTAGGAGTGTTTGTATCCACTCCCCCATTTAAAACTTGTAAATTTTAAGGGTAGTATGACTAACATAGGTGGCTGTCGTAGTAAGATGTGGTGTGGCAGGCGATGAGCCAGTCTTCATTTGGCACTGAGAAGGAAAACACAGACCTGGTAGCACATGAAATAAAAAGCACAGCCCTCTTCTCGAGTCCTTCACCACTCTTCACCTCACAGACCATTTTTACCCCCTTATCTACCCCAGTGAGAATTGCTGGTTGACCCATTAATAACCCAGTAGGCTTAGAATATGAGATGATGGTTTCTCACAAACATATTTACCCACTTTCTCCCTATTTCTCTTGTTCAGTAAATATACCACTATTTACTGAGCTTCTACCAAGTGACAAGCATTTGATTAATTCAATTCCATATTCATTCTAAAAATAGTTTTTCTGAATGCTTGCTGTGTACCAGGCACAGCCCTGGCACTATTTATTACCTTATCCTCGTGGCACCCATGCAGGGTAAGAGTTAACACTTCAGTGATCTAGATGAGGATATGAGAGAGGTAAGGAGTGTGCTGACGGTCACCTAGCCAGTGAGTGTGAATGTAATGCTGTCTGACTTTCTCTGATTTGCCTAGATGCTCATCCTGGCATGGATGTCAATAAGACATTGGAACCTCCTGGATTGTGTTCATAATAGTAATGTGATTCTCATCCTTCTAAACCTTGGCTAGAGTCACAGAAAGCAAGGAAGTTAGGGAAACATCCTCTCACACAGCTTTGGTACCTTTGTGGGGAGCTAATGTGATGTCTGGGGAGCTAATGTGATGTCTGTGAAAATCCTTTCATGAATTTCCTCTGTGTCCATGAACTAAGCTTGGTTTTAAATTTTTTTTAAGTGTAGTGAGTACTAACAAAAAATATTTTTTCTATTTGCCTCACCTTTTCTACTTGCCTTACCTTAGATTGAAACTCAGAGGAAGGATGAAAGGAAACATTTGTCCATGTGTCCTTCGCATGTCCCTCTCCAGGGTGAGTCAGTAAAGAGACTCTTGGTTGTCTGAACTGGTTTACTTAGTTCAAAAACAGACCAGTGGAGCTGAGATTTGTGGGAAACTAGGGTTATTTTACACAAAGGAAATTTGTAATATTATACATTATACTCTTTTTTTGTTTGTTTTTTAAGAGACAGGGTCTCAGTTTGTTGGCCAGGCTGGAATACAATGGTGCGATCCTTGCTCACTGCAGCCTTGAGCTCCTGGGCTCACGTGATCCTCCCATCTCAGTCTACTGAGTAGCTGGGACTACAGATGTGTGCCAGCTTAAATTTTTTTGTAGAGACAGTCTTGTTTTATTGCCAAGGCTGGTCTTGAACTCCTGGCTTCAAGTGATCTTCCCACTTTGGCCTCCCAAAGAGCTGAGATTACAAGTGTGAGCCACTGCTCCTGGCTGTACTTTTAGTCTTAGGTGTTTTGGCAACTGGCAAATATATGAAATTTCATTTGCCTAAGAGTGCAGGGAACACCCTATTCTCTCCTCTGTGTCAGTGGTCCTTGGGTTCATGGATGATTATACCATTTCTGAGGCTGAATGCACCCAGACACAAGAATGAGGTGGAAGCCCCTTGTCCAGTTTCATCTCTGTCTTCTCTTCATTAGGCCAAGGAAGGCCATGGAACTGTACTGTTAGCACTTCACTCAGGCCTGCCTGTATCATCCCTCCACCCGGTAGTGTAATGTAAGTCGGCAATTTGTAGTCACTGAGATAATGTCATCCCCAAAGAAAAGCATCTACTATGGCATTATCCTTTACACCCTTTTCTCTGTACCCATTTTGTAGTCTTTATCACTTTCATTATTATGTGGGAATTGAGGCTTTCTATCTCCTATCTTTTGTGAACTAAATATTATTTTAGGTAATTTGTACTAAAAATTCTAGAAATACTGCTTGGGGATGGCAGTCTTATTTGGAATTGTGTCAGATTTGGTTCGTCTTGTGCTTGATTGGTTCATGATGACTTAAACAATATGTAAATGGTCTTGTTTTTATGTAACTCATAAAATGTTTTCCTTTCCTTTTTTTTTTTGTTAGTACTCTCTCCTTTTTCTACCAAATATCTAGGCTCACTTTTACCATCAGATAGAGATTTAGTTGGGCTTTTAGAGCTTTCTCTTCAAGCAGATACCGTGTGTGTGTGTGTGTGTGTGTGTGTGTGTGTGTGTGTGTGTGAAGTTTGTGAGCTGTTAGAAGCTATTTGCTCATCTTGTCAAAGCCAGAGCAGTCTTTTCATTCTCAGTTGCTTTGCTTTCTCCTCACCTCTTGGGAAATTGGCAGCCAGTGGCTTTGATTTTTTTTTTCCTTTAGAGACAGATATGCTAGCGTATAACTAGACAGAGGAACAGCTTGCACATTTAGCAAATGATCAAATAATTGGCATGTGTATGTATGTGTGCATATATGCTGGCTCTATAACTGAGCAAGTGGTGTTTTTTCTCTCAAGACGCCATGCATTTATACATTTAATTAGGAGGCCTAAGTATCTATGATGGCTTTTAGATATGTAGCCTCAACAGTTTTTTTAAGAAGGGGGAAGAGGTTTCAAGACAATTTTGACTCTTATTTAGTGGATGTGTGGTTTAATATTATGATATTTTGGGGAAACCTGGATTCTGACTCCATCGTTTCAGTGAGCCATAGTTTCCTATTGCTTCAGGAGTAGAGAAGTGGGGAAGGGATTTCAATAGTTTTTAAATCTATTATTTAGCAGTAGCTCGAGGCTGTGTGCATCATAATTGAAGAAATGAGATAGGGTCCCCTGGGTGTGCTCTGCATTCCTTCCATTCCATGATGCTGTTCTAGTCTCCTGGTCAAATCACAGCCCAGAGCTGCTTCAGCCAAGAGGAGACTTAAATTAGGGATGTGCAATCTTCAGCCATGGTAGCAGGATCCATTTAGTTTCTAGGCAGATGACAGCATGTGCTATCTCTGCAGAAATTATGGCAGCTTTCAGATTGAAATAGCCCTGAGAGTTTCTTTTGACTATTACTTTGAGCTGAGGTGTAATCCCTTACCACTGGTGGAATCTTAACTACAATACAAGAGTTAATTGTATTCTGTGTTTTCATTTGTGGTTCAGAACACAAATTGTTATTGTTCCATCAGTTTTCTTGTTTGTTGTTTGTTTTTTACCTAATCCTTTATTGTTGTAGTAGTAGTTATATGCTTGCCTTAACATACTTAGGCTATTTGGTACTGTGATATTAAGATATTTTAGAGAAAAAGGTCATCAGCTGTCTTTCTGGACTGTTCTGGATGTTTTGTACTCTTTTTGGACCTATCTTTTCTTTTTTTTTTTTTAAATTTTACTTTAACTTCTGGGATACATGTGCAGAACATGCAGGTTTGTTACACAGGTATATATGTGCCATGGTTTGCTGTACTTATCAACCCATCATCTAGGTTTTCAGCTCTGCATGCATTGGGTACTTGTCCTAATGCCCTCCCTCCCCTTTCCCCTAGCCACCCAACAAGCCCAAGTCTGTGATGTTCACCTCCACGTGGTCATGTGTTCTCATTGTTCAAATCCCACTTATGAGGGAGAACATGTGGTATTTGGTTTTCTGTTCCAGTGTTAGTTTGCTGAGGATGATGGTTTCCAGCTTCATCCATGTTCCTGCAAAGGGCATGAACCCATCCTTTTTTATGGCTGCATAGTATTCCATAGAATCTATCGGCCACATTTTCTTTATCCAGTCTATCACTGATGGGCAGTCGGGTTGGTTCCAAGACTTTGGAACTATTGCAGCTATTGTGAACATATATGTTCACAATAAACATATATGTACATGTGTCTTTATAGTAGAATTATTTATAACACTTTGGGTATATACCCAGTAATGGGATTGCTGGGTCAAATGGTATTTCTAGTTTTAGATCCTTGAGGAATTGTCACACTGTCTTCTACAATCGTTGAACTAATTTACACTCCCACCAACAGTATAAGGAAGGGGTCCAGTTTCTGTTTTCTGCATATGGCTAGCCAGTTTTCCCAGCACCATTTATTAAATAGGGACTACTTTCCCCATTGCTTGTTTTTGTCAGGTTTCTCAAAGATCAGATGTTTGTAGATGTGTGGTGTTATTTCTGAGGCCTCTGTTCTGTTCAATTGGTCTATATATCTGTTTTGGTATCAGTATCATGCTGCTTTGATTACTGTAGCCTTGTAGTATAGTTTGAAGTCAGATAGCATGATGCCTCCAACTTTGTTCTTTTTGCTTAGCATTGTCTTTGCACCACTGTCTATACAGACTCTTTTTTGGTTCCACATAAATTTAAAGTAGTTTTTTTCTAGTTCTGTGAAGAAAGTCAATGGTAGCTTGATGTGAATAGCATTGAATCTATAAATTACTTTGAGCAGTATGGCCATTTTTACGATATTGATTCTTCCTATTCATGAGCATGGAATGTTTTTCCATTTGTTTGTGTCCTCTCTTATTTCCTTGAACAGTGGTTTGTAGTTCTCCTTAAAGAGGTCCCTCACGTTCCTTGTAAGTTGTATTCCTAGGTATTTAAATGTATTTGTAGTAATTGTGAATGGAGTTGACTCATGATGGAACAGAACAGAGGCCTCAGAAATAACACTGAAACTGGACCCCTTCCTTAGACCTTAAACAAAAATTAACTCAGGATGGATTAAAGACTTAAACATAAGACCTAACACCATAAAAACCCTAGAAGAAAACCTAGGCAATACCATTCAGGACATAGGCATGGTCAGAGACTTCATGACTAAAATACTAAAAGCAGTAGCAACAAAAGCCAAAATTGACAAATGGGATCTAATTAAACTAAAGGCTCTGCA